TCTTAATATTTACTAATATTATTCAACATTATTTCTTCTTATTAAGTATTATATTTATTTAATAATAATAATAATTATATTTTTTATTATTATCAATATTTAATTTGATAAAACCACTCTAATTTGTGCTACGGATGATGATGATGACGATGGCGACAACGATGATGATGATGACGACGACGGCGATGATGATGATGATGATGATGGTGGATTAACCGATGAGTAGAATATTCTTTCACCTAAAACGTGCAAACAACAAAAACTTCCTCCACTCTGACGTCATACTCTCAGAAACCAAAGAGACTAAATCGAGTGCAAACGAAATCTTTTGCTTGCGCGTGCATCCCATACTATAACATCTATGAAATATCCTATGTAGAGAAAGAGAGAGAGAAAGAGAGAGAGAGAGAGAAAGAGAGAGAGGGGGGAGAGAGAGAGAGAAAGTTCTACGCTTATTTATTTATTTTATTTTATTATTAATTCTCTTGGATGTGGATATGTTAATTGTTCATGAAAATTATTCTACACAAAAATGTATACAAAACGAAACCAAACAAACAGTACATACATACAAACAAACACACGCACGCACGTACGCACACACATAATAATAACATCCACACATACACGTACACACGCACACGTAAACGCATTCGTACACTACACGTACATACGCATACACAGCTTCGTGTATTATTTATATGATCATTGATTTCTTGATTTATCGAACCCAGGGCTATTGAAAGAGCATTATGTTGCCGTACGTTCTATCATTTGCCCGTCTCGCGTATTTATCTGTACGTGTGCGTTTTGTTTCTTATGCGTGTGTGTTTCATTGTATGTGTGTGTTTTGTTTCTGTTTTTGTGTATATATATATATGTGTGTGTGTGTTGTTCTTTTGTTCTTGTGTATGTGTGTGTGTTTGTGTTGTTTTTTTTGTGTGTGTTTTATATGTTTGGTGTTCGCGGTCATAATTTTTGTGTGTGTGAGTGTTTTTTTTTGTTTCTTATGCGTGTGTGTTTCATTGTATGTGTGTGTTTTCTTTCTGTTTTTGTGTATATGTTTGTGTGTGTTGTTCTTTTGTTCTTGTGTATGTGTTTGTGTTTGTGTTGTTTTTTTTGTGTGTGTTTTATTTGTTTGGTGTTCGCGGCCATAATTTTTGTGTGTGTGAGTGTTTTTTTTTGTTGTGTATAAGTGTTTGTACGTTTGATTTGTGCAGGGTTTTTCGAATGCATGCCTGTGTGTATGTCGGCCTATGTGTGTTTGTATGCTTGGTGATAACAATTAGAAATTTTTTCTCTATTTCACCGCTACGTGATTCTACATTCGTTTCGCCTGACATACGATAGAGGCCCCGATAGGTAACGTGATCTCAAAATTATTTGTTAGGCTGGTATAGTCATTTTGCGCACACACGTGCACCAGCACATACACGCAAACACACACACACGCACATACACACACACACACACATATAGATACACACTTCCTCTCTTTTTCTCTCCTCCACACTCACTCACTCACACACACACACACGCACACATATTTGCACTTAGCGCACGAAAATCGTTTTATATAATTTTCTTACCCTTTTTTCTTTCTCTCTCTTTCTCCTTCTCTATCTCTCTTTTTCTCTCTCTCTTTCTCTCTCTCTCTTTCTCTCTCTCTCTCTCTTTCTCTTTCTCTCTCTCTCTCTCTCTCTCTCTCTCTCTCTCTCTCTCTCTCTCACTCTCTC